AATTACCGATCTAATTACCTATGCAATGCAATTTTTCAGTACCACGAATTTTCAGGTAGGTAGGTATTATTGAGTTATCTAACAGCATCTCTATTATTTGCTGAAATGAAAAAATCGAGAAATGAATATCCGACTAATCATTGCTTTCTGTTCTCAAAACTACCTAAACATCACGAAATGTTTCAAACTCTACCGAACTTCCCAAACTACCTCGAATATCCCAAACTTCCTCGAAATTCCCCAAACTTCTCCGAACATCCCAAACTTCCTCGAACTTCCCAAACTTCCTCGAACTTCCCAAACTTCCTCGAACTTCCCCAAACTTCCTCGAACTTCCCAAACTTCCTCGAACTTCCTCGAACTTCCCCAAACTTCCTCGAACTTCCCCAAACTTCCTCGAACTTCCCCAAACTTCCTCGAACTTCCTTGTGTCTGTACACTAAACTTCCCACGTGATTTACCCCTCGGTTTTCATTCAAACGCTCTAAAAAGAATAAAATAAAATGTTCCTTTAAAATTTTAACTACCAACTTATAACCTTATATTCACAATTCATATGAACATAAAAGCTTGTCGCGCGATTTACTTATGTGGATAAACTAGTACTAATTCAATTTTGTAAAATCTGCTGAGTTTACATTTTCAAAATTTCAATTTGATTAAATATTGATCATCGCGACAAGCTTTTATGATCATATAAATTGTGTATAATGAGGTTATAAGTGAATAGTTAAAATTATAAAGGAACATTTCATTTTATTCTTTCTAGAGCGTTTAAATAAAACTTTAATTAATTTTTTTTTCTTTCAATTTATTTTTCAATTATTAGTTATCGCTGGCTAGTTTCTCAGTCTGTTCATTTCATTCAACGCATCACTGCTGCAAGGTCGTTTGCCGGTTAATTTCGAACAGTCCAGCTCTTCAATAAGGAGCAGCAAAGAGCTTCGAGTCTAAGTCAATAACGGCGTAGTCGACAGTACTAACTTGCATTTTGTGTACTGTACAAGCCCAACATAATACAATTGATGAATGAATACTGTGGGGCCACTTTGAGAATGAATGATTTTCATAGTTTGTAATACAATTGGCAGCATTCTTCGTTCCGCGGTTACATGACTATATTTTGCTGGAAATTGCACAGACTTGGTGTGCCATATTGGATTTCAAGTGATGTTACATTGTTTTTAATTATTCTCGGCAAGCCCTTTCATTTGATACCCATACTGTAGAAATGCATTGAAAATAAATTATTCCGCCATCTTGGATGGTTCGCCATATTGGACTTAGAATTACTTCACACACCTTATCTTGCATTGTCATCCAAACTAAAAGTGTATATAAAATTTCAGCTCAATCGGTTGAAGATATCTACTTCAAAATTAAGTTCAAAGATACCATCCAAACTAACATACATCCATACATTGCAAGTTAAATAAAAGCTTTTAAATTAATTGAAAATCCAACTCACCATAGATCAACAACCCTTTTAATGAAATTACACATTTTACCATATCTTTCCTAGAAGACTTTCATATATTTCTGGTGTACTTTCACCCAACCACAGTAATACAAAACATGTTTACGAAATCTGCCACCTACAAGTATGCAATTATTATAGGAGATTTCAATGTTAATAAAGGAAAGAATAAACAAATAAAAGACTTCCTGGACAGCTCCACTTTCGAAAAAGCTGACACCCCCCAATCTTCATCATGCCTAACAACCCAGACTCTACTCCAGATTCAATTTTTTACACTGGCAGCATAATACAACAATATAAAAAATGTATCTATTCACCCAGACCTAGGATCCGACCACTTGGCTTTATAAATTTCAATAGACCTGCAGACATCAATAGCCGTCGAAGAAATCCCCAAACCCAACATAAAAAAATATGATATTGAAAAAGTTAATTTCTCCTTGAGTAACTTCGTCAATCTCAATCCACCAATCAATAAAGAAACAATAAAAAACTTCAACCGAGAACTTAGCAGCTCAATCATAGAAAACTCTCCCATCTCCAGATCTAAACCTTATTTACATGAACCTCCATCATTCAGATTGGCACTTATTGAGGAAAAGAGGAAGATGTACGGAGAATACAGACAAAACCCTAACCAAAACTTCAAAGCACATTTAAACAGGTATAACAAGAACATCCAAAATCTAATATACCATAGAGAAAACAAACGGATCGAGACATGTGATCAATCAAATGCAAGGGAAAAATTGCTGGCACCAAATCAAAAAAATCAGCAAGTATAAACCAAAAACTACATTTCACCATCTTGAACAAAATGGTGAAACATACAGAACTGAGGAAGAGAAAGCAAAAATATTTGCATTTCACAAGCGCCTTTGAAGAAAATAGAGACCCCCAGTTTGGCGAAAATGTTTATCAAACAGTCGAAGAATGATATACTCAATACTTTCGAGACCAAGGCAAAAACAGCGCGCCTGGAATCGATAATATCACAAAACATATAATTAGAAAACTAGACTATGATATTCACCTTTTCAATATCAAATGTATGAATATTGTATACACTATACTTCCCGCCAGAATGGAAAAAATGAGTAAGAATAACAATTCAAAACCAAACATGGATTACAGTCAACCCAGAAACTAGAGACCGATTACTCTCCTGGCAGTGTAGGGCAAAAACCTTGAGAGACTGATGAAAAAAATTATGGAACAAAAAGTAGGACATGCAATCCCGGCCCACCAATATAATTTGCGCCAAAAATGTGTGTATCACAAGAGCCAAACATTTTCTGAACTCAACAGTCATATGCCGCCCCATACTCGAATATGCTCACCCAATAGATATCAACCAGAAAGCCATCCATGAAGAATCTAGAAGTAGCAGGAAGATTTAGTCTCAGAGTAATCACGAAAATAAGACATCTCCAAAACTCTACCAACTCACTAAGGTACAACAGATTAGTGAGAGGCTGGAAAAACTAGTACAGAAGTTATTCAACAATGAAAGAAACTTGCAGATCATTCAAACCCAGTGCATCCTCCAAAGACACCCAACTGAGTCCCCCAGATACAAGTTTCCAGTAAACACCTTGGTGGAATGCATCACCCACATAGCTGAAATGCCAAGAAATTAAGAAATTAATCAAGCTTGTACAATTTCCTTTTTTTCCCTCACATCAAACAAATTCACAATATTTATTGAATTAATTTATTATACAATCAAAGAAATGAAATACTATAGATATCAATTTAATACAGGCTGAAGGACTCCGGTTGGTGGAAAATTGGATAACCAATAGCACTTAAATTATTATTATTATTTGGAACAGTATACATCATGATAGCCATACATGACCGTTTGCTATCAGTGAGGTGGTTAAAATCACCGGAAAATAAGATATTGGGCAAAATCGGCAGGATGTATGCATGAAACGTACTCTCAGACACACCCTGTATGTATGCCTTTGAAGTTTTCCATTCTTGAATACCTTGTGACGTCATCAGCCACCTGCTAAAAAATGAGGTTTCAAGATTGAACATCTGACAGAGAAAACAAAGGAGGTATTGTTGGATGACTCATCGGCCACCTGCGTTGGAACAATGTTCTTACACAAATAAGGATGATGTAATCGGACGAGGACAAAGGAGGCATTGTTCTAGTCGCAAATTTTATCGTCGGATAACGTGCATATCGAGTGACCTTGAAACAAAGTGACATCAATTGTAGTAATACCAACCTGAATCTAGTGAGTAACAAAAAGTCACTAGTTGTGTGATTGTGACGTCATCCACCACCTTCCAAAAAGAATAAGAAGAATGGATATGTCCTAGAAGGCCCCAGAAGGTTAGAGTCTAGAGTCCAGAATCCAGAGTCGAGAGTCTAGTCCCACGTGTCGGCTATCATCTCTGTTATAAGTAACTTGTCACTTGTCCGTGATCCATGTCACCTGTCACTTTTCATCTGTCGCGTGTCATCTGTCACTACTTGTGTTCCATGCTCAATTTCATCTGTCACGTGTCATCTACCACTTCTTGTGTTCCATGCTCCATGTCATCTGTCACTTCTTGTGTTCCGTGCTCTATGTCATCTGTCACGTGTCATCTGTTACATGTCTTCTGTCACCTTTCATTTCCGGTGGCGGCCATCTTGGGCTGGCGCGAACGTAGGTACACTACTATAATGCTGTATTATCATATTTGAATACTTACTATCCATTTTCGTTAGTCTCACACTACATTCTTCTTACACTAAGACTCACAGTAGTTAATGTTCAGGTTATTTCCAGTTATTTTTAGGTTATTGTCAAGTTAGTGATTCAACATCAAGTTGATGTTGTTTTAATGTTGAGTTAATGTTAAGTTGAAGTTAGGTCAATGTCAAGTTGATGTAAATTTATTGTCAATTTGATGTTGAGTTGATGTCAAGTTATTCAATTCAATGTTAAGTTGATGTTAATTTAATACCACTTCAATGGTGAGTTAAGGTTGAGTTAATGTTAAGTTAATTTTAAGTTAATGTTGAACTCATGTTTTAGTGTCAAGTTAATGATAAGTTAATGATATTTCGTTAATATTGAAGTGGAATCAAATAATAATAATGATCATGATTACACCTTTATGTGATCGAATATGATTAGAAACATGATACCTACTCAGGACTCATGAGCACTCATGGTGCATATAATTTAAATATTTGTGCTCCTAGGAAAAAAAGTGTACAAAACTCGTTGGAAAGTGCATTACTTGCACTCGTTTCCTTTCCGCACTCGCGAAATATATATATATACTTTCCACGCTAGTTATGTAATATACTATATACTCTTGGTCACATTTTTTCAATAAGTAATAATCAATTTATCATAGCCACAAATAACAAATCTTATCTTGAATTTAACAAGCAGTAAATGAAGAACTTCTCTTGGGACACATGCAATTTTCTGAGACATTTTTAGTAGGATGGCTCTTAGCTGGGCTTTTATTTGATTGGTGAGGAAGGAATATTATCCAAACTTACCCCTGGTGTGCTGGCTTGTGGTCCATAAGGATACCTAGTCCAATCCAAACTGGCTTCTCCCGTGGTATCCAGAACAACAACTGAAAAAACAAAGATAATTCAGTGATTTTTCAAATAGTTTTAATGACTATTATTACTCCAGAAATTAATGATAATTTTTCTATAAACATATTATGCTCTAAAGAGGTTTCTTATTCAGATATAGGATTCGATTCCTGGAATATTGGTCATTGTATGTACTTGGCTTCTTCAACTTAACTCTTTCATTCTAAGGATCAGTATTGTATAAGCTTCTGCACAATGTGTAATAAGCAAACTTCTATTTTGTGTTGAATATTTCGAAAAACGTTTATTTTAGCTCAAATCAAGGTGATGCATTTTTTTAATAAATTTGAGATTTCATCAGTAGCATGGAAAATATGGAAAGAAAAATTACCACTACCCCCTGATAAACGACATATTCAAAGATGAAACCATATACCGAATTTGAAGGCACAATAGTCAACCATTCTTATTGTGGAAAAAAAATTATTATTCTTCAACTTCAACACCCTGTATCTCGAGAACTAACTTGAAAGTTCTACTATAGTAATTATAAAATTACCAGGGCTATAACCCGTCAAGCGTTGTCGATCGAATTTCGAAACACCATGTATATTTCAGAAAGCACAATGGGTGAAGTTTATTTCTTCAAAATTGAGTTAACGGGTGAGTAAGATATTTTAATTAATTCTGAAATTATTTTAAGTGCGACTGAAAACATAACAACTCTCATTTTCGAACGCTCAAAGAGTATGAACTTCTTAATCTTGTTTTGGAATTTTTAAGTAGGTAGTCTTTTCAAATCCGGCATATCATTGAATGTTCTGAGAAATTGAAAATGAATTATTCAAATGATAGAAGTTGGGTTAATAACAAATGAGTAAGTTCCAGAAACTATAGGCAAAGGTTTAAAATTGAGTGGATGTTTTGAATAAATAATATGTATTCAACGCATTCAAGTATCCACGAGACACATCGCTAAAACATGCACCTTCATATTAGATCAGAAAGCCAGAGCAAGTACAACAACCAAACGGCCGAACCCAGGACTGTTCACCCTGATTCTTTGGCCCCTGAGTGCTAGCTAGTCCATAGTGAAAGAGTTGAAATAGGGATTGTAGTATGATGAACTACTGAAGAAGTTTGTTTGTTGATTTACCGGTATAGTCTAAGAGCCCGTAAACCTCTAATATAACGGTTTTTCTGTAAGGCTAGAAGTTTGTATAGTGATGGATCAAAGGCTGTTAAGTACAAAAACCATGACTTGGCAGGCCTCACCCTTGCACGTCACCATCCCCCTTATGTTTCAAAGTGTAAGAATAATTTAAAAAATAAACTTTGCCCTGTAAACTTGGTATTTTATTATGATCCTATTCAGGTATTGCAGAATATAGAAAAAAATTGACAGGCGATTCTGATGATCAGAAGTAGGTGCCAGGCGAGTCCAAAAGTGCGCAAAAGAGGACTGAAAATAAACTTCGCTCTGTAAGATTGAAATTCACACACATGTTTAACTAACCTCCATTAGGCTATAGGCTAGGCAATAGGCTAGGATTGGAGCCTAAAATTAGCCTTAAATTATGGCATAATTAGTTTTGTGATTGAACTTTTATTTACGAAGTGGTTCTACCTCCATTAAGCTAGCAGAACCACTTTGAATTTTTCAATTTTTTCTTCGGCCATAATTTTAGGCTAATTTAAGGCTAATTTATTACCCTATTGCCGACTTTATTGCTCTTCAATTTATGTAAAAAACCGTGGGTTCTGCTAGCATAACGTTAAGCTAACAGAACCACTTCGTAAATAAAAGTTCAATCACAAAACTAATTATGCCATAATTTAAGGCTAATTGTAGGCTCCAATCCTAGCCTATTTCTAATTTTAGGCTCTTCGTTGAACCTATTATCGATTTTTTTGAAAAGCATTTTCCGCAAATAAATTTCCAAATCCAACATGAACATGACAAACCAGTAGCAAACCAAAAGAAAACTTCAATCACAAACCTGATTATGCCATAATTTCAGACTAATTCAAGGCTCTGATCCTAGCCTATTGCCAATTTTTTCGCACACTGATTTAAAAAAAATCATGGGTTTCGCTAGCTTAACCATTAAGCTAACATGTGAACATGACAAACCAATAGCAAACCAAACAAAGTTCAATCACACAACTAATCATGCCATAATTTAGGGCTAATTTTAGGCTCTGATCCTAGCCTATTGCCAATTTTTTCGCACATTGTTTTTTTAAAAAAATCATGGGTTTTGATAGCTTAACCGTTAAGCTAGCAGAACCAAATCTCAAATAGCAGGAATAAAAAAATATTGAGTGCACCATAATTTAAGGCTAATTTTAGGCTCTTCGTTGAACCTATTATCGATTTTTTGAAAAATTATTTTCTGCAAAAAATTCCCAAATCCAACATGAACATGACAAACCAATAGCAAACCAAAAAAACTTCAATCACAAACCTAATTATGCCATAATTTCAGGCTAATTCAAGGCTCTGATCCTAGCTTATTGCGAATTTTTTCGCACACTGTTTTTTTAAAAAAATCATGGGTTTTGCTAGCTTAACCGTTAAGCTAGCAGAACCAAATCTCAAATAGAAGGAATATAAGAATATTGAGTGCACCATAATTTAAGGCTAATTTTAGGCTCTTCGTTGAACCTATTATCGATTTTTTGGGATATCATTTTCTTCAAAAAATTTACCAAATCCAACATGAACATGACAAGCCAATAGCAAACCAAAAAAACTTCAATCACAAACCTAAGTAATTATGCCATAATTTCAGGCTAATTTAAGGCTCTGATCCTAGCCTAGTGCGAATTTTTTCGCACACTGTTTTTTTAAAAAATTCATGGGTTTTGCTAGCTTAACCGTTAAGCTAGCAGAACCAAATCTCAAATAGAAGGAATATAAGAATATTGAGTGCACCATGATTTAAGGCTAATTTTAGGCTCTTCGTTGAACCTATTATCGATTTTTTGGAAAATCATTTTCTGCAAAAAATTTACCAAATCCAACATGAACATGACAAACCAATAGCAAACCAAAAAAAAATTCAATCACAAAACTAATTATGCCATAATTTAAGGCTCTGATCCTAGCCTATTGCGAATTTTTTCGCACACTGTTTTTTTTTAAATCATGGGTTTTGCTAGCTTAACCGTTAAGCTAGCAGAACCAAATCTCAAATAGAAGGAATATGAGAATATTGAGTGCACCATAATTTAAGGCTAATTTTAGGCTCTGATCCTAGCCTAGTGCGAATTTTTTCGCAAAAAATTTACCAAATCCAACATGAACATGACAAACCAATAGCAAACCAAAAAAAAATTCAATCACAAAACTAATTATGCCATAATTTCAGGCTAATTTAAGGCTCTGATCCTAGCCTAGTGCGAATTTTTTCGCAAAAAATTTACCAAATCCAACATGAACATGACAAACCAATAGCAAACCAAAAAAAAATTCAATCACAAAACTAATTATGCCATAATTTAAGGCTCTGATCCTAGCCTATTGCGAATTTTTTCGCACACTGTTTTTTTTTAAATCATGGGTTTTGCTAGCTTAACCGTTAAGCTAGCAGAACCAAATCTCAAATAGAAGGAATATGAGAATATTGAGTGCACCATAATTTAAGGCTAATTTTAGGCTCTTCGTTGAACCTATTATCGATTTTTTTGAAAATCATTTTCTGCAAAAAATTTCTCGAATCCAACATGAACATGACAAACCAATAGCAAACCAAAAAAAAAATGCAATCACAAAACTAATTATGCCATAATTTAAGGCTAATTTAAGGCTCTGATCCTAGTCTATTGCGAATTTTTCCGCACACTGTTTTTTTTAATCATGGGTTTTGCTAGCTTAACCGTTAAGCTAGCAGAACCAAATCTCAAATAGAAGGAATATAAGAATATTGAGTGCACCATAATTTAAGGCTAATTTCAGGCTCTTCGTTGAACCTATTATCGATTTTTTTGAAAATCATTTTCTGTGAAAAATTTGTCAAATCCAACATGAACATGACAAGCCAATAGCAAACCAAAAAAAAATCAATCACAAAACTAATTATGCCATAATTTCAGGCTAATTTAAGGCTCTGATCCTAGCCTAGTGCGAATTTTTTCGCAAAAAATTTACCAAATCCAACATGAACATGACAAACCAATAGCAAACCAAAAAAAAAAATTCAATCACAGAACTGATTATGCCATAATTTAAGGCTCTGATCCTAGCCTTTTGCGAATTTTTTCGCACACTGTTTTTTTTTAAATCATGGGTTTTGCTAGCTTAACCGTTAAGCTAGCAGAACCACATCTAAAATAGAAGGAATATAAGAATATTAAGTACACCATAATTTAAGGCTAATTCTAGGCTCTTCATTGAACCTTTTATCGATTTTTTTCAAATGATTTTCTGCAAAAAATTCCCGAGATCCAACATGAACATGACAAACCAATAGCAAACCAAAAAAAGTTTAATCACAAAACTAATTCAGCAATGATTTGAGGCTAATTCAAGGCTCTCATCCTAGCCTATTGCCGATTTCTTTGCACATTGTTTCTTCAAAAAGTCATGGGTTTTGCTAATAACTTAACCATTGCTAGCAGAACCAAATCTCAAAGAGAAGGAATACAAGAATATTGAGTACACCATAATTCAAGGCTAATGTTAGGCTCTTCATTGAACCTATTATCGATTTTTTTGAAAATCATTTTCTGCAAAAAAATTCCCAAATCCAACATGAACATGACAATACATTAGCAAATCAAAAAAAGTTCGATCACGAAACACATTATAGGTACCGAAATTTAGGTACATACATTTTCATTACAATTATATTCTATTCAATGGAAGTTACTAATCACAATTACAAATTTCAGTGCTCTTATGTAAAGGAATGTAAAATGTTGGTAAAAAATCTCGTAAAAAATACAAGTTTAGGAATACGAATACATCATATATTTTTGCCTTTAACTGTTCACCAAAATAAGAGACCACTAGTGTGAATACTCAATGATA